CAAGTTCAGCCAAATGTGTGTTACTGGTTTTTTATGCAGGGAGCACAAACGGAATACTCCTTGAAGTTTTATCACTGGGGTGTCTGGAAACCAAATATTCTCCAAAAAGAGCACTGTCTGCATGATTTTCTGCATATATTTTAGGAGACAGATAAGAGACACACATACTTTATCTAAAACCCTTCATATTACATTTCTCCTTAAATCCATAGTCATATTTATGATGGATTGGTACTAAGTGAACTGTTTCTTTTTGTATTTAACCATCTTGTATTATCTAAGAGTTCTAATAAATACTGGCACACTCCTTTGCTGTTTAACAACCATGCAGGATTTAATACAGCTGTGCCAAAACAAATGATCATAACTAAAACCCAGCCGACTCCAAGTTGATTTTCACTCTGAGAAAATCAAAAGAAGTGAAAGGGTATAAAAGAAAATGATAAATGTCTACAAATGAAACAAAAGGCCAAACTACACAGTGTATGAGGGATCTGTGAGGAATCTCTGGAGATTTTTACATTTGTTTCTCTTTAATCTACCCTGGGCCTGAGGAGAAGGTTGAGCTTATGATCCCATCCTGCTCTTCTGGACCATGGTTAAGAAACTGGGAGCACAGTGTGTATTTGGGGTGCATAACCCAGATAGCCTTTGAATTCTTTTAAAGAGCCCTGGACTCAGGCAAGTTGAAAGACAATCTGGAGAGGTACCTTCGTGTTCATGTTTTTGTCTTTCCATGTCTTGTAATATGGGCCAATGCACTCACTAATGTTGAGACTCCAGAAATTCATAATAGTATAGTATTACAACAATCCAAATAATAGTATATAAAACTATAATAATGGTATTATAATAATCCAAACTTGAGAGCTATTTTTTTTTTCAATATTCAGAAAACACTATTATTGTTTGCTTGGACACCTGGTGTTCCATATGTTTTCAACCTCCTGCAGGCCTTTCTTAGGAGTGATTTTGAGCTTTGCTGAAAAGCATGGCTTTATTGAAGAAGGCAAAAAGCCTACATTTTATCTCTAGTGCTATCTAGAACTTGGAGATCAACTGGGCAACAGTTTCTGTATATTAATGGGGGGAATCAAAATTGTTGTTGTTACTATTAGAATGTGGTTTATTTCAATTTATTACCCAAACAGTTTGTTTGTCTGACTGAGTGAGCAAAATGTAATCCTTCTGGTGTTGTTGAATTGGACTCCCATCATCTCTCACTACTGGATATGGCAGCCTAATGCTGATGGGAAGTGTAGTCCAACAACAGCTGGAAAACCCAGGGAACTGTAGTCTTAAGAACAGCTGTGGGACCAGAAGTTATTCATTCCTGTTTTATACAAACAGCATGAACTGTTCTCTTTAAAATATAGCTTAAGCAAAAATATTCAGAAAAGTTGAAGAACAAAGTTCAGAATGAATGCAGTCGAGCAACAGAACAGAAAATAAGATGAACTCAAGAACTTAAGTTTCAGAGAGACTATTTTGCCTTTAGGGAGAGAGTTCTGTTTTTTCAAACTCCTGTCCATCACTTAAGGCACACAAAATGTTACAGTAACATCAGCAGCTGCGAAAACAGTGTCCTGCCAAAGGAGGAATGTTCCAGCAGCACAGCTGTTTGGGTCAGGGAAAACATACTTTGCATTTTGAACCGGGAAATCAAGAATGCAAACTATTAACTTCCTTGTGTAACTTTTTGCTTTGGCTGCCACCTTCTGGGAATCTCTACGAAACAGCAGGGAAGCTTAAGTGTCAACATAAAACGGTGGTATTGCTTTTGTTTACCATTTCTCAAAATGGTATTTATTTGATTCTTTTTAGTATTTATATGCGTACTGTCTTTCGCTTTATTTAAATATTTAATGATGTAAGCCACCTTTGTATACTCGCGTACTGACTTTTGCTTTATTTAAATATTCTCCTTTAATGATGTAAGCCACCTTTGTATACTCATTGTTTTTAGCTTTAAATATTGTCTTTTAATGATGTAAGTCAACTTGGGTCCTTTTTAAAGAGAAAGGCGGGGTTAAAATGTTTTAAATAAATAAATAGCAAGTGATTCTCAACAAGCCAGCCATGTTGTAGTCTCTCCCCCTCCCCGGCTCCACCTGCCTGTGTCAGAGCCAGTGTCACTATCCAGTATTCTTAGGCTATTCCTTGGTTCCAGCTCTGGGTGGGTCTACTGATGTGGATACCTGCCTGGGCTTCTTCCGAGGTGAGGTCTACTTTGGCTGTGCCCCCAGACCTTTTGCCTGCCTTTGGAGTTTGCTTCATGGTAGGAACTCAGTATGAGAAACCAACATGTTCTTGGGCCACAGGGCATTCTGGAAATTATCCCCAATTGAAATTCTGCCATTATGCTGAATGTAGCATTGCCCAGGGACACAGTGGTAAATTTAAGTGACAGGTGGCTTCCCAGATGAAGCCGCCAAGTAAGACCACAATGGGAGCACTGGGGTGGGGTGGGGAGGGGATCAAGCCTCAAGCTACTGTATTCCTGCTCTATGTGTTATCACTAGTACTAGCAAAAAGCCTATGAATTTCATGAGAAGGATGAAATGGTAGCACAATTCTACTTCGTTCAAGGTCATTTATTCCTCACACACTCGGGACTATGAACAGTTATTATATGGAGACATGGGGAGTGCTTTTTTCTGCCATATTACTCCAACTGTGGAATGCTCTCCCCTTGGAGGCTTAATTGGAGCCAACAGTAGAATCATTTTGGTGCCAAATCAAGATGCACTTATTTACTAGAACATTGGAAGTTGAGGATCATGGCTATATTTTAGGGTTTGAGTATTTTTATTTTGTGATGTTTGATTTTAAATTGTTTTAAACATCATTTTTAAAAACTGTTTTATATAGGTCTGTAGCCCATCCTGAGATCTTTTAATAGAGTTTATAGTTGAATGAATGAATGAATGAATGAAAATCAAGATGCACTTATTTACTAGAACATTGGAAGTTGAGGATCATGGCTATATTTTAGGGTTTGAGTATTTTTATTTTGTGATGTTTGATTTTAAATTGTTTTAAACATCATTTTTAAAAACTGTTTTATATAGGTCTGTAGCCCATCCTGAGATCTTTTAATAGAGTTTATAGTTGAATGAATGAATGAATGAATGAATGAATGAATGGAAAACTGTTTTATATAGCTCTGTAACCCATCCTGAGATCTTTTAATACAGTTTACAGTTAGTTGAATGAATGAATGAATGAATGAATGAATGAATGAATGAATGAATGAATGAATGAATGAATGAACGAACGAACGAACAAATGAACGAATGAATGAACTATTTCTCTGGTCATCTCTCTCATTCTCTACATGCATGCCTCTATGCCTTACTAAACAGCTCCAAAGGAGCAGGCATTTCTCTGGTCATCTCTCTCATCCTCTACATGCATGCCTCTATGGCTTACTAAACAGCTCCAAAGGAGCAGGCATGAGATGGGTTCTCTGTGCCTCCGACACCAATAAAGCTCGCCCTTGCTTGCTTAGCCTCCATGCAATGTTCATTTAACCATAATTTTTGTGCCTTTCTAACAGGCTATTCAAGTCAGCTAGAGAACCTGAAGTATATTTCGAATTGCATAAGCAATAGAGAGAGCAAAATCAAAATAATTTTAAAAAGCAAGACACTTGGAAAATCAGCAAGATAACATAAAACATCAAACGGTAGCAGCCTAATTTAAAATCTGCAGGCAAAAGAATTCTAAAATGTGTGGCGTTGTCAGGAATGTTTGGTAGCAACAGTCGAAATCCAATTTCTTGTCTCAATTAGAGTTGGCCCACTGAATAAATTAACTAACATTATGTCAACATCTTTCAATCCTATTGATTCAAAAGAGATACTCTTGTTAGGACTAGCACCTGGTGCTAGGCCAGTGGCTTTGACACTTTTCAATTAGTCCCCCTATTGGTGGAGAAGAAATGTTTCTGTCTAAAATCCTCTTAAGATGTACCTTCAGACAATCAGCTGCCTTTACATGTACAAAAAGTGAGGTCAACAGTGCATTTGCCACCTTACTCTTGCCATCCCCTCCCACCTTGACCAAACTGAATCACCTGAAAACAGAGACTCCATTGTTACCTGGAGATAGGATTTCCCCTAGACCTGGATATTATTACCAACATCTTTGGTAATAATACAGTGGTGCCTCGCTTTACGATTGCCCCGCATTACAACGAATCTGCTTTACGACAATCTTTTTGCAATAGCAATTGCAAACACAAAACAATGGTCTAAATGGGGGAATTTTGCTTTGTGATGATCGGTTCCCTGCTTCGGGAAGCAATTCTTCGCAAAACGATATTTAGCTAACAGCTGATTGGCGGTTTCAAAATGGCCACCGGGTAATTAAAACGGCTCCCCGCTGTGTTTAGGGACGGATTCCTTGCTTTACAGGCAGCAAAAATGGCTGCCATAAGGAGGATCTTCACTGGACTGTGAGTTTTTACCCCACTGGAATGCATTGAACAGGTTTCAATGCGTTTCAATGGGGTTTATTTCACTTTACGATGTTTTCGCTTAATGGCGATTTTCCTGGAACAGATTATTGTCGTTAAGCGAGGCACCACTGTAATTACAACAGGAGAGCTAAAGAAAAGCCCTGTTCAAATATCATCATGTTCAGATGTTATGTTTAACAGAGCACAAAGTAAGCAGAGGAAAGGAAAAGAGCCTATGACGAGTAAATTCAGGAGTGTATCTGAAGCTTGTTCATGACCAGACTATATGCAGAAAAAAGGCACAGGCCAGGGGCAACGTATGGACTGCGGACTGAGTGGTTCATCCCAAAATGTTGAGAAGTGTGACCCACCACCACCCATCACAAGATTCCTGTGTTTAAAGGAAAAACAAGCACTGAGTGAAATTCCCTGAGTAAACAAACATTACAGAAATATACGAAGGATGCTAAATAAACCCAGGATCCTGCTAAGCAACAAATGTAAGAGGAAATTCATTAAACATTTAGTCATTATTCACCATAGTCTGAAGATGCTTTGTTTTCCATGAGCAGTTGATTGTCATGGCCCCTTTTCTTTGAAGAAGGCACTGCAATGGAACTTCCAAGACTCCTTGAACTCCCAACAGTAACACCTTTTTCCCATCAAGGTCAGTACATGCTGTATGGCAGAAAGCAACAATTACTTTGATTAGCTATCTTGCTAACACACTGCACAGACGAAAAGCAACAGAATCACTGACATCATGTAAAAGTCTTGGTTTCCTTTCCCACCCAACCCTACCAAAATCAATCATATGAAAAATGTTGCAGTTTTAAAAATCAAAAAAGGCTAACACTTTCCTCCATGATTTTTGCAGATGACTAAGATCACCACGTAGCAGGACAGGAGACCTGTGATCGGGTCTTACAGATTAACAGTTAGGAGTATGTCTTTGTGCACTTATACAAGGAAGGCCAGTCTTGATTTGGGCAAGAGAAACATCAATGGAATCTTGCTAAATCCAATCAGATACATATTTTCACTTAGCACAGGTTGCTAATTTACCCAGTTATAATTAGATACAGCTCCACACAGATTCCATTATATCTGTGTTTTCTAAGTTTGATATCTTACCATAACAGTACAATCCTATACTCTGTCTACTCAGAGGAAATTCCTACTGAATTTCCCAAGTAAGTTGCTATACGATTGCAGCCTAAGACATATTTTCTTCAAATAAATCTGTGGTTGAAAAAATTGAAGATTGTAGTGTTTCTTTTCCCACTCCAGCATCACACCAAGGGCGTACCTGCGTTATTAACAGGCATTTAACACAGTATAGCAAAGATCAACCCCACAAGACTATGCAGAGGCTTTCTCAAAGGCCATCTTTGCAGCTGCAAAAGAAGTGGACTTGTCCACGAAAGCTCTGATTAAGGTGCCACAACATTTTGGTCTTCACTATTATTATTATTTTGTTTTAAATTTTTGTTTATAATGATTTACTCAGAAGGAAGTCCCACAGAGTTATTAGTTTTATTTTATTTTAATATCAGTTTTAATTGTATGTCGCATTTCTCCCAACAAGGGACCCAAGGCGGCTCACAGCATTAAAATTCACACAATTTTAAAAACACAATCAGTTAAATATTAAAAGACAAATTAAACAATATATGATTTAAAATAAAATTAAAAGATTAAAACATGAAAACATAGAAAAGATTAAAATTATCTGGCCTTCCTTGTTCAGGAATTCAGTTGTAATTGTTAAAAGCCTGCTTAGAGAGATGGGCCTTTAGCTTTTTTCAGAAGGATAACAGGGAAGGGGCCATCCTGATCTCCTGAGGGAGAGCGTTCCATCGCCTGGGAGCTGTCACAGAGAAGGCCTTCTCCCATGTCCCCATCAGCTGTGCTTCTGCTGGCAATGGGACTGATAGGAGAGCCTCCTCTGCTGATCTTAATCCCCAAAAAGGCACATATAGAGAGATATGATCCTTCAGGTAGCCTGGATCCAAGCTGTATTGGGCTTTGTAAGTAATGACCAGCACTTTGAATTGGGTCTGGAAACGGACTGGAGGCAAGTGCAGTTCTTGTAACAGGTGTGTTATATGCTCCCTATAACTGGTCCCAGTCAGTAGTCTGGCTGCAAAGTTTTGCACCAGCTGAAGTTTCCGAACCGTCTTCAAAGGCAGCCCCACATAGAGCATAATACAGTGACCCAAAAGGGATGTAAGTAAGGAATCTGTCACTGCAGCCAAATCCAAGTTCACAAAGCCCTGCACCTTAAATTCATTAGCAATACTGGGTATTGTAAAGATTCTGTGGAAGGGAGGTGTGTGCACTGATTTTAGGAAGCCTGGAAAACACAGAGTTAGTGAAGGAAGAACAACTCACAGGGAAACAGAAGGGACAGGAAGAGACAAACAGGTGCAATAGCTTATTACTGCCAATCGTCCACTTGGCACTCCTGATGGTGCCTAAAGATATGCATCTGCATATTCAACTGTAAACATTTTAGGAAGCATAAGTGTCTGGCCAATGACAGTTCCTGTGGCTTTTCTGCACTTCGGCATAGTTACAGAAACCACATGGCTCTGCTCATAAGCCATTTGAAAAGAAAGATAATACAGTGCTGCCTCGCTTAACGGGCGCCCCGTTTAAAAAAGAATCCGCATACCGATGCGGATTTTGCAATCGCAAAAGCGATCGCATTACGATGTTACCTATGGGGAAAAATCGCTTTGCGATTTTTCCCCATAGGCACCATTTTCCCCCAGCTGACCGGCGGGGGGATCAGAAGGACCGCGGGAGAGGGCTCCCCTGTGAAATGTGAGGGGGTGTACTCACTCTGTGACATACTGCACAGTATATTCTTTTTAACAAGTTCATAAGGTGGGCCACTATTTTACAGATGAGGATTGGTAAGGCAGAGGTAATTCTTTGTCTTAAGCAAGTCAGGGAACTCATGGGTGAATCAAGATGTAAACATACTGAGCACAGTAGCCAATATCCTCTTGCCTAAATGAGGAATGGAAGAGAAGCCATCTAAGGGTTTCCTCTGCTCCCACAGAATTCCCATTTTGTGCTTGCTTCTGTACTAGTTGTGGGATTGATCCCATAAAAGGTCATGCAAGGGGAAGTTTCTCAGAGTGGAGGAACATTTCTCTGATTGCCCTTCCACTCCACATTTAAGCAACAGGATATGAGCCAGTGATAGGAGATAAATAAACCACAAACAATTATACTGTACCTAGCTTTTCCAGAATCTTGATCACAGCACCGGCAAGAGGGGGGACCACACATTCATTCATGTCTCCATGCACTAACCTTGCCAAATTAAAATCAGTTACCCTACAAGAAAAATGAAAAATTGAAAAGGAGATAGAAAAGGAGTGACCAAAATGTTCATGCAACAATATATGAACATAATAATTAAGGATTTTTTTTTTTAAAAAAAGCAAGAATCATGAAAGGAGTTGTTGGGTTGCAATTCCTCTCATCTGTCAAAATTGGTTGTGCTGACTGCTGTTAGAATATGGAAATGTACAACAATGTATATATGTATGTGTATATGTGTTTGTATGGGAAGAACTAGAGTGTTTTATGTGCCTAGTGAAGCATTCTGACCAATCAGAATGTGTCTGGCGTCAGAAAGATAACTGTATAGAGCAAGTGTCAGTGAGCAGTCTCTCAGGTAGGGCTGAGAGGGCCATAACATGCGATAGGGCAGACCAGCTCTGACAGGGTTTGATAGGGCTAATAGGGCCATAATAGGTAATCATGAGGGGGCTAACAGATTTGTTAGAGTAAACATGTCCATCAAGTTTTAAGACTATATACAAACATAACTGAGCCAAACACAAGCTTATGTAACATGTACTAATATGTCTAAGTACTGTGAGTTTGTTCTCTTCTACATATGTTTCAAACAGTAAAAGTTATTTAATGTTTTTGATAAAGACAAGGGATCATATGCTTTACTTTCAGCTGCTGCCACAAACACACACTAGGGGAGAATACAACTTTTACTCTGAATATTTTTTTAATCATAATGCTTGAAACCTCTGTGAGCAAATTTACATTTCATATATTATTATTGCCCAGATCAACAGCTACAGCTAACAGGAAATACACTACAGCAACACACCTTTTGCTACCTCTGACTGCTTCCTATTCATATACCAAGATGCTTCCACTGTATCTTGAACTTTCATTAAAGGGCTGATACTTGGTTTGGAAAAATTCCCCATTTCAAAAGAAGATCCTGCCCCATTTATTTCCTAGTTGACTAAATAACTCTCATCTCTCATCACCCAATAGTTAGTATTTAAATGATATTGAAACCAAATATTTTAGTTTATTTTTCATTATGCATTTGGTTGTAGTAAATGTATATTCACACATATTTTTGACAGCGTTATGTGCTTTACACTGTTTGACTTACCCCGCCACATCTTTCTCTGGTTTTACAGCATTCAATATTTTGCTTGCATAGGACTCTTTACAAAGGCGAAGGAGAAGGCCATGGATTTTAGGGTTCTCATTGAGCTTTATGATTTCATCTATGATCTAGAAGGTAATTTAAAGAAAGGAAGTCAGGATTTTAGAACCTTCAGAATTGGAACACTATCATATATTAAAAGATGGATGACTTAACATGTAACATTCGCCCCTCAGATCAGACACACTGACTGAAATCCTGCCTCACAACAACATTGTATAAGGCTGATGATGTAATCACCTGTGCTTTTTTTTTTCAAAAATAAAAATTTCCAGTCCCCCCATTTTTATGGGGGGACTGGAAATTTATATATCAAACAACATAAAAATGCGAAGAAGTCAATTTATAACATCAGTTACCTCGATTTCAGTAGAATCACGAGGAAGACAAATCTGAACAACATCCAAGCCGATCTACAGAGGGAAAAAACTACAGTAGTATGATTTCCCACAAACGCAACCATATTTTAGTTGAATAAAGCTTGAGCAGAGAGGCTTCCATATTCTCATACTCTCACCTTTCTAGCAATGGTTCTGATAACTTCTTGTCCCACATCATCATCACCAACCTTGAAGAGATATGGGGGGGAGGGAGAGAGAAACCAGTTAGTGGTCTAAACAAATACCTGAGAGAAAATGTGACTATAATCAATGTATAACAAACCAAATCAGAAAGGTAAGCAAACACAAAAAATATATTTGCAATGGGAATAAAGGTTTACTGAACTTTTCACCATGTTCCTACTCTGCTAAAACTGACAACGGCCTATCAATTTACTTTGTATGTACATTTTATTATTGTGCTGAGCAAAGCAATTACACCTACATACATATTAAGAATGAAGGCACTTTTGCAGGAGGGGAAAGAGATGGAATTTATTGTTCATTATATGCATTGTATTATTATGGGTATCATTCCTCTTGAGATAGATGTCTGAGAGAAATTTTTGAAAAACTTTTTCTGAACAATAGGAAGAAATGTTGCCACTTATGGGATGATATGAATATCCTACATACAAAGTTGCTAAGTTTTCCCTTGCAGCCTAACAGATTCGGTACAATTTTTAAAAAAATATATAAAATAGGGTACAATATGCTCAAGGTCACATGTTCCAAAATTTATCTCTCAGCTTGATTATGTGCATATTTGTGATGACCAATGCATCTTAGTCAACAAATCTGACCTGACTGATACATCAAACAGAAAGGGTACTTTTTCTGTTTCCTAACATTAATGCATGTGTGGAACAGATGTCTGTTGGTCTCCTCAAAACATCTTTGGGCAGATCTGTGGCAACGAATGGCTTTGCATCACAGGCCCCATTCCCAGCTGTGAAAAGGCCTCAAAACTCTAGTGCATCCACATTCTTTGTGGTTATATACAAACAAGGCAAGCCTCAACAAGAAACAAATGGAAACATGCTAGCATGATTTTCCAGAGCATTCCACAGGAAAATGTGAAGGCTAACAAACACTATGCAATATTATGCAGTGTTTGGGATGTTTTCAGGATACTTAGGCCAGGGCTTAACTTAGAATGGCCTAAAATACAGAAAGAAAAGTCTGTGCAGCAGTAAGAACCAGTGTGGTGAAGAAGACAGGGACAGTGGTGGCTGACTAGGAGACTCTTAAGTGTTGGAAGTCCAAAAAGTTACTTTTTCAAGCTCTGGGTCAGATTCACACCCACCCAAAGTGACATGGGATTCGCGACTAGTTTGGGACAATTCAATCAACGCTGCCAGATGTGAGTTTTAAAAACAGCACTCCCAGCTTGAATTTACATCCTTCATTTTGACATTGGCAGAATTTGAAACTGGCATATTTCTTCATTTTGAAATGGTTAGCTATAATATCTGGAGCTCTTGTATTTTTCTCTGCCTCATCCACAGATAAATGGTACCTAGCCTCATCAATGCCTGTATGGGCTAAAAGCCAGCATTTTTTGGGGAGGGGATCTTTCAGTAACTCAATAGAGGTATCCACTACCCTTCCCTTTGGAGCATATGCAAGGGCTACATGGCTCTCTCCCCTTTTGACTCCTTGGGGGAAAGGCAAAGACCCAACATTTGAAAGGAAGGGAAGTAATACAATACTAGCTACATTTCTGAGGGGAAGTATTTGATACTACTCCCCCCTCCATCAGACCCCCACAGCAGATTTTCAGGAGACTGCAGCAGGAAAATGGTGCAGTAGGAGCAAAGACCATGTGAGGGGCTTTTTGAGGGGAAAATAAAGTTCCGTGTTAGTACTGCAAAATGGAAGACAAGCCCAGCTGAAACATGTTTGTGTTTCTTCTCTCTGATTACTGATTGCAATTTAATTTGGTACCTGGATCCACACAAATGTCATTGTTAGCTACAGCTTCCCCTCCTTCCACAGACAAATCACAGGCTCATTCTTTTAAGCAATTTACTTCTGAAATCATAATCCTTAGTAGGATTATTTTACCTGCACAACAGAGAGTGTTGGCTTCAATGTAGGTTGTTCTTTCTGTAATAAATCCAGTGCTCTCCTTGAGTTTTCAATTATTTCTCTAAAAATAAAATAATAAACTGTATTCATTTGAGACACTGATTACCTATCCCAGCAAGCACACATCCATGGTGCCATGTTTACAGATGACTACAATTACAAAACCTCATTTTCAACATAAATACCTTCATGAGCAAATACATAACATCCAGCAAATATGTTCTTCTTATTAAAAGACATTGCCAAATCTTGCAACAACACGGCATGCTATCCAAAATCTATCTAGCTTAGTGTCACTGCCACTGGCTGGCAGTTCTCCCAGCCTTACTAGGGATGAACTTCAGAGTTTACACATGCAAATCATGTACTCTGCTACAGACTCAGATTCCCTTCTCATATTACAATCCTATATATACTTCTAGGCTTCCATAATGCAGGAGAACATAGCACTCAGTGAACTGGCAAAGACTTGCACTTGAAAGTCTTCATTCTGTTACCTCTGTTTATACAATAAAAGGATAATTTTAACAGCTTTAGTTGGGAAGTGTATCCCCACCACCACTTGCTGCCAGAAGATGGTAGTTCCATGACACGGCTGGAACACACCTGTATTGGAAGTCCCCATGGGCACAATGATTGCCAGGAGATGGCATTGGGCTGGCACATTCTAGGTATGGGAAAGACACTGACATCTCAAGAAAAGTTTTTTTTCCCCCACACAAAACCAGAAATGCCCCACAATACACTTCTATAAATTTACTCTAAACAAATTTCACTGAATTCAACAGAGGTTGCTTGTAGAAAGTAGGTATTTGTTGTTTAGTCATTAAGTTGTGTCTGACTCTTCGTGACTCCATGGACCAGAGCATGTCATGCCCTCCTGTCTTCCACCACCTCCCAGAGTTGGGTCAAATTCATTTTGGTAGCTTTGATGACACTGTCCAACCACCTCATCCTCTGTTGTCCCCTTCTCCTCTTGCCTTCACACTTTCCCAACATCAGGGTCTTTTCCAGGGAGTATTTTCTTCTCATGAGATGGCCAAAGTATTGGAG